GGCTCTGCGCAGCGTGGCGATCTTGGACAGCCTCTTGCCCCCCAGGTCGTGCCGCAGCGCCCGGCGCAGCGCGTTAAAAGCCTCATTGTAGTCCAGGATGCGCTTGCGCTCCCGCACATTGGCCGCAATGCGCCGCGCCTTGGATCGCACCGGCCGGGCCCGTTTTCTGCCTCCTGCAACCCCCTCTGCCTCATGCAGGCCGCGGGGGCCGCCCTTCTCCCTCAGCACCCCAAAGTCCCGCGCAGCCTCCAGGCAAGAGACCTCCAAATCTCTGGCAGGGCTCTGGACCCCCTTCAGGTCCCTGAGGCCCGGTCCGGGCGCCCCTTGGTGCATGGCCTTCTCCCAGGCCCTGCTACGCCGATTGCAGCTAGTGAGGCTGATGGTCCACCTTCTAAGGTTGGCTTCTGCAGGCTGGACACTCCCAGAAAGAGACTCTCTAGCTGGGCTTTATGGCACCACGTGGCTCCTGGCCCTCCCCATCCATCCATCTCCCTCCTCCTGCTTTATTACCTGCCTCCAGGTAGATTGGTGAGGGAGGAAGGGAGAGGAAGGAAGCAAGCAAGGGAGGAAGCATGCAGATTCTTGTAGGAGAGGACAGGCAGCCCAGCCACGCCCGCCCGGGGCAGTCAGTGCTCCAGCCACCACAGCAGAAGTTGCTCAGCCTCACTCTGGGAGCCTCGCTGTGTGGCTGGTTCTACAGTCTTTATCCAGACCCCAGCCAGACTGTCAAATTTGGCCTCTGGCAGGGAGAGCTGGTAGGCTCTCCCAAAGGTCACAACAGTAGTCCAGTCTCAAGAAACTTGTAAGTTCTCGTCAAGTCTTATGGGCAAACAGGAGCTGTCACTGACGAGACCATGGCTGTCCCTGGGAACTGGCGGATCTGATATAGTAGGGCCCTGCAGGTTAAGATGGACCTGCAGCTGTGGGCTTCCTCAGCTACCAGCATGAGGCTGGCTCAGATTCTGGGGTCTGGGTTTTGGTCGGACCTTACCCACCTGTACCTCCTTTGGCTGCCTCTTCAGCAGGCAATGATGGGCTGAGGCAGCAACACAGGGTGATGGAGATCGTCTCGTTGCCAGAATGTACTCATTGTACCTACCTGCCATTCTCACTCCCATGGGGTTGGAATTTCAACATGGTCTGGGGGGCCGGGGGAACTTAACCCTAGAGAAAGACCTCTAGTAGAATTTCAGCTATCCACAGGCAAGTTATTTGGAGCACCTTAATGTCAATATCAGTCCCAGTCATGATGAATGCTTCCCAAATGCCAAGGCCTGCTGTGGCACCAGCTGGAATAGGAGGTTCCCAGCCTTCTCCCCAAAGAGCACACCAATAACCGCCACTATTTCATACTGTGCATTTCTCCATGGAGTAAAAGAATGGGATGCTAGGAAACAAATATATGGATTTGCTTGGCGATTGTTTTATTGTCTGATTGCTGTAGGGTAAATGAGATGCCTGAGTTTTTGCACTGTTTACCTCTATGGCTATCACCCGCAGCCTTGAATGTAGGTGGCGCTTGGGAGTGTGGGCTTGGGGCACACATGCCTGATGGTGGATACCTGGGGTATTGTGTGGGCATGTGTAAGTGGTTACACCTGAGCCTGCTGGCTGAGGCTATAACAGCAGCACTACCGAGGCCTGTATACATTGGAGAGTGGCAGAGAGTGGCTGTGGGAAGGTGAGGGACTACAGAGGCAGGGCCCTGAGACAACACCAGAGAGCGCCTACAGAGAAAGCGTCAAGATTCACTGGAGACCGGGAGGTCTGCCAGCCTCCTGGCCCCCAGCCTCTCCTCAATTGGTCTCCTACCATCCCCACAAAACACAGACACATGCACACAGAGACACAAATGGTCACACCAAAATACATAGCTCAAGCAGAATTCTATATAAAGTGTGAACCATGGATTTCTGAGCTCTCATGTCCACACACCCAGCTCAAGGAGCATGATGCCAATCTTGATGGGCTTCAGAGTAGGAGGCATGGAACAGGGTGAAAGCCCAGTGTGGCCCCTGGTTCCCTTTCGGGGCCACCCCTGCCCTCAGCCCCATCTCATGTCATTAGCCCCTCAGTGCCACTTAGAGAAAGTTGAGTCTCTTCCTCACTCATTAACCTTGCCAGCGCCCCCCGCCTCAGAAAACCCTGGCCCCTGGGCCCAAAGATGAGCAAACCAGGAACAGTAGGTCGACATTCTGGTCCCAGAGGAAGTTTAGTGGGTGAGCACTCCCCATACTCTGCACTCCCAACCAACAGCTCCTCACTGAACTTTCCCCCATACTGGGCACATTTGGGCATGAGTGCTTGCAGAGAATTCCACCACAGGGAGGGTCAGGGCACTTGGCTCCAGTTCTGCCACCAACTTGCTATGTGACCTTGTGCCAGTGACGTCCCCCTTTCTGTGTGTCAGTTTTCCTTTTCCTTGCAAGGGAGGCATCCTCACTACAAAAGAGAATGGGCAGCAGCTGCTGCACAACTTGGCAAGCCCAATGCACAATGAAAACATGGGCCCTTGTCAAAGTTACCAAGGTTTGGGAAATGTTGACAGCATAGCATTAAACTGAGCATGGGGCCCTTCTAAGTAGGCCCTGAGTGTAGGCTAGAGTGGTACAGTGATGAGCACAAGCTCACCCAGGTCTTGGGAAAAGCATCGAATCTCAGTTCTCTACCTGCAAAATTTGGAGTGAGGCCTACCTTGGCGGATTCCATGAAATGGACTGTGGGTCTCAGAAACACTGCTCTGGTTACCTTGAGTGATACCATTGACCTGAGCAAGCCCACTTACAAGTTTCCTCTCCCTTGTGGTGCTCCTAGGGAGCCCATGACCCCTGCCATCAGCAGATAATAGAAGTTCAAGCCCAGAACCCCACCATCCCCATGTAAGGATGGGATGACTGTCCAAGAAGCTTTCCCTCCCCGTGGATCCCCAAGACAGCCTCACAAAGGGGACAGTCTGCCTGGGGCAGTGCAGGAACTGAGGGGAGGGTGCAAGTCCATGGCCACCATGTTCAAAATGCTTCCAGCCTCCAGTGGGAATTCAGAATCTACCATGGACAGGAGGCTGTTTAATAACAACGATCGCCTTAGTAATATTGGTATGGACGTCTCTTTGAGTGTATTATAGGCCAGGCGCGGTACAAAGTGCTGCTTTAACATACATTTTCTTAGCCTCACAACAATCCTACATGGAAGGGCGTATTATTATAATGTCCATTTTGCAGACTGGAAAGACTCAGTGAGAGGTAAGTAACTTGCCCAATTCAAAGGCCTGAGTTGTGGCTGAATTAGGATCTGAAATGGGATACTGCAGTTCCTAGAAGCAGGCAAAGCTCTTAATCCTTCTGGGCTGGGCCCGCATTCTCAGCTCAGTGAACACCCCCTTCCCAGCACCAGCAGGCTCACCTGTAGGTATTAAATACTTTCAACCGAGTGTGAAAAACTAAGAGTTTGGCAGATATAGAGAAAACCTGGAAGGGGGAAGGGCTAGTGAAGAGGCTTTCCTAAAAGTAGGAAAGAATAGAGATTATGAACTAGAAGCCAGAAAACAGCTGGAAAAATCCAAGGGCCTGCCTCTTGGGACTGAGATTTGCTGCTTGGGGTTTCCGTGGCTGATTCTAGCTGATCCCAGCTGAACTGAGGGCTGCTGGGATGCCAGGGAGAGCAGCAAGAGCAGCAGTGACAGGCCAGTGTCCACCTGCTGCCCCTACTGCAGGTGAGCTGGGACCCAAGGGTATTCAGGATCGGGTCAGCACCGTGCTTGTGTGTGTATGCTAGGAAAGCTGTAAGCCTCCACTTGGTCATCCTGGTTGAGTTCATGGCCTGCAGGGGGGTCCAGCCTCAGAAGCCTCAGCTTGCTGCAGTCTCATCTTCTTGGAGCCAGCCCCAAGCGTCCTGAGCATCTTCACTCCATCTTAGGATTTAGCGGTCTGTGTTGAACTTATGCTGGGTCCACATCTAGGTCATCTTTGTAGTCCCAGTCCCTAGCACAATGCCAGGAACATAGAAGGTGCAAGGAAACATTTCCCGAATGTTGAAAGAAATAGTACAATCCCCGATTTTAAGATACTCGTGAAACTTTGGAAATTCCACAGTAGTCTGCCACAGAAGTTCTATATTCAAATACAATAAGCAAATCCAGTAGACAGTGAGCACCTACTAAATACCAGGTCTAGTGCTGTAGGCTTCACATGTGTTGACTTAAGTCTACAGAGGCTCAGTGTTAAAACAGAAAGAAGCCAGCCTCCTAGTGCCCTAGGGGTTAAGTCTCAGCTCAATCACCTGGATGGCCTGGCCTGAATTTCATCCCAGCCAGGGAGCTGACCCAAATACCATGCAACAAATCTCTCCTGTCTCTGGTGAATCCTCTCCATACTCCCGCCCTGTACCTCTGGCCTATACTATAGTTTTCTATACAAAAAAATAGTCTTTTTGGTTTTTTAATAATAGCTTTTTAAAAATAATATAATAGCTTATTTTTACATCATTTTGTGTCTTTTTCCATCTCAGTTGTAATCCCCATGAGCTTCCCATCACCAAATCACCTGTGTGCCATCCATCACCACTGTTCATTGCACTCTGCCCACCCATTTTATGCAAAAAATAAAGTCTTTTTTAAAAAAATAAAATAAAAGGAAGCAAACCTGGAGCCAAACAGATATGGTTGAGAATTCCCCACCCACCACAGACACCTGGGGGCTTTTCATAGTTGTCTTAATGCTGTGGTTCTCAAAGTATGGTTGTAGGGGCAGCTAGTGTCTGAAAGCTTCCTGGGCTCCACCCCAGAACCACTGAATTCAAAACTGCCTTAAAAACAAAGTGGTTTGTGGGGAGGGAAGTGCACGGGATTTTGGTGATGGCACACGGGTAACATGGTGATGGGAAACCCAGGGGGATTACAATTGAGATGGGGGGGGGGAATGTACAAAACGATGTAAAAATAAACTGTTATAAAATTCAAAAGTGGTTTGACTACTCAGAAAAATATAATATAGTATATAATGTGTTCTTTCAGAGTCTGTCTCAGCCGTTATTAAACTTTAGCCTGTGTGGGAATGTTCAGGGTTATATACATAATGCTTGTGTCCTGCAATCTGAGTCTTATTCAAGGATAATTTTGACTACAATTTCCTGTTTAAGTAGAACATCCCCATGCATGCATTAAATGACAGGAAGATAAATCTGGATGGCCAAGTATGGGACTCAGAAGGAGTCAAATAGTTACAGAAAATCATGCGACATTAAGATAAGGTTAATAAATGCAAAATAAAAATAATAAATGAAAAAAAAAAAAAGCTAGCATTTCCTAGTGCTCCCTTCCCTGAAATAGTGGCCTT